CACGCCCAGACTTTATATTGAATAAATATTAATTAATTAGGAAGCTAATTCAAAATGTTTACAGATTTATCAATTTGTTTCACAAGATAACAATTTGTATTTAATTATTTCCTTTTTACTAATGAATTGAAAATTTTATACAATAAACAAAAATTATTTTAAACAGAGAAAAAGTTTACACTTGCATATAGTACAAAGCATTCAACAGTTCATTTTAAGTAGCTATCACACTAAGTGCTACAGGTACTTGATTTTGCTGTCGTCGAGATATAGTTTGTGTAGCGTAGTTAGAATTTTGTATGCAAGTTGTGTTATGCCGATTATTATTATTATCATTATTTCTTTTACGTAGTATATTACATCGATTATAAATCTTTCGTATTATTGATACCATTTCAAAACGATACAAACGTGAAACTAATAAAAATAAATAGAATGACATAAATGGACAAATAAAACGAAACATATCCGTAACGAATAAAATAAATGTCAGACTTGATTTATCTGCTGTTGGAACATCGATGTTTTTCACCGTAGTTAAAACAACATACAATACAATAATTGTATATGGAGTACTAGAAGCAACATAAGCAAATACTTGTATAAGTAACATAGCAAAAACTTGTTGATCTTTAACTTTCAGACGTTGAGTTTCTCTTATTGTTAAAACTGCATTATTAGAAGCTACTGGATGAATTTGTCGACGTTGTTGTCGTAATTTAAGATTACGAAATGTTAATAGAGAAAAGATAAACATTAGACCAGGTGGTATTATACCAATTAGAAGGATACCATATATACTATTGTATAAAGCTCCTATATCAACGAATGAACAAGTACTGTTTTGAACATTTATTAAAATTGGTACATGAATAGGAATAATAAACCAAATAAATATAACAGATGGAATTACGTATCGACGAGCAATATGTACACGAGAAAATTTTCGAAGACGAGCATCTGTTGAGCAAAGTGCATATCGATCAAAACATGCACAAACAATTAAATAACGAGATATTTGAAGGCAAATATTCATGATATAGCCTTCAATTTTACAGTATGCTGCTGATATTTCTGATGGTCGTGCTTCAGCATTGATCAATGTTGATATACCGACATTGAGTGCAATTAAATTAGTAAATGCTGTAACTAAAAAATCTACAATAATCGCTTTCTATATATAAATATATGATATTTAGTATTAGTTTCTAACTTACAATTATTACAAGATGTTGTTCGTAGTTTTTTCTGAAGAAAAAGTACAATATTGCAAACATTACCAATATTACCAAGAATTAACATAAATGAATAACCATAATATGTTAGTATATATGTAGCTAATGCCAATGATGGATTTTTTTGAGATGATGATGGCATTATTTATATTTTAAACAAACGTACTTGTTTCTAAAATTAATGAAAATAAGAAATAAAAAGATCTATCGACGCATGCATTTTCATTTTCTTTTCTATTTCACACATGACTATCATATTTCCTTAATAAATACATAAAATTAGTATTGCTTCGGTAAGTTATAATGAAATAATTTAGTGCATTCTATTATTCTTCTGTAATTTTAAATAATAAACTAAAAGTATTTCTTCTGACAGTACGTCATTAGACATATATTCATATATATATATATATATATATATAT